GGAAAACATCGTTGGAATCAGGAGGAGGCATGATTATCCACACAGTAAACGGAATTGGCCGAACAAGATGGTTCAACACCGGGTCAGCCAGCGCGCATTTTCAAGCTGACAGAAAGTCCAAAAACTGAAACAGGCGCAACTCCTAGTTATACGCATACTCTTACTGGACTGGGAATCTACTTCCATGGGGGCTTATGCCGAGAAAACTGTCGTAAATACGTGTCCGCTTAATAGGACCTTAGTGGCTGACACTATGATGGCAAAGAAACCTTTACCATTAAGGGAAACATTAAAGGTCCGAATCAAAAGTCTGGTGTACATCTGTTCACATCCATCTCAACAAACGGACCAAGTTAAGTAGCCGGGCCTATTTGGCGGACCCTGGATCTATCGCCATTAGATGATCATAGCTAACACCTGAAATCAGCAACAGTGAAGTTAACCTATGAAACCTCACTGTGTGTAGGCCAAATCGATGGTATCACTTAGGTGGCTGAGTAATCGTCTACCTTAAGATATCAGTCTTTCCTATCGCAGAAACAAGGAAAGTGGATGATGTCCATTTCTACGTCACGGACTGCAATGCGAATGACAAGACACTGATCTCATTGCAATATTTAAAATTTCGAGAGCACGCAGGAGTAAATTCGCATAGAGGAACTACACATATAGACAGTGCCTGATAGTCGTTGATTTGAACACATCAACACATCGAATGAAAGCGTCGGCCCCGCGAAAATGGGCTGATAGAATCTTATATTTCACTGGCAGCAGGCCAGCATATTGGGAAGCCAATGTGCTATGGTCACCACCAATTTTCCTTAGAATTGCCCTAAACCGAAAGTGTGAAGTTCAGTTATAAACGCCCTATTTTCTGCAGCCTCATCAGAGGACCGGAATATGAATGCGGAAGATGAATGCAGTTACTTCAATGAATTTAAGGCTAGAGTAGCACAAACGTGCATCACCTCACGAGTAAACTGTAAGATTCATTGAATAGTTTATATTAATAATAGCTTTGCTCTTACAGTACTTCTGGTGTATATATGGAATTTTCAGCATGTAATACAGTATTGCATTGACTTTTCTCATTGTTCGATTATTGTACAATCAATCAAAACAGGTTCTTAAAAAATGTTAAACTCTAGACCCTTCGCTAAGGTCATCCAAGCTTCGTTCTGTTTCATGCTGATAAATATGGTCAATTAGTGAACAGCGTATAATTGGGCAAGTGCTATGCCGCCACATGATTGAACGCTATTTCAGGAAAAGGAGAACGTCATACAAGATATATAAAAGAAGGAGATGAGGACTCTTTGGAACGATGGTATATATTTGCAACGTTTAATGTTAACCATATTGGTCTAAGCATGGGAACTGTGATGTTTTGTCCAAGCATTGGTGTTCTTGTGTTTTTAATCAAAGCTACCAGACTTAAAGCAAGCAACAACTATGAATAAAGAGCAAGTTTCGGCTTTTTTAAAGGCCTAGGTAGTTAAGATAAAATAGAGTATAATAGTGCGTAAATAAAAAGATTATTGTGAGGTAGATAAGCGATATTTAAGCGAGAAGTGAATTGAAAGATCTGGAAGACTAGAACCCGTAGTACAAGCTGGCCTGTAAGATGTCTCATGAATTTCTGTGGGGCCCATGGAGTAGCACCTTGACAAGAAGGTGAACAGGCTTGTGGATAGTAGGAGCAAAAGCATTCTTTTATAATTTAGATCTGTATAACCCTTATTTTTTCATTCTTTTGTTAAGGATTCAGACAAATTTGTAATAGTCGAGCTGTCAAAAAATACGTGTTGCCGTCCTACAGATTGGAGCGATTCACATTTGTGGCCACTACCATATCTGCTGATCAGCATGCGCCACCATCCCCCTTTAGGTGCTCGAACAAATTTAATTTCCCTCCAAGAAGCAGGTAATGTGTGGGTGAAAAATAATTCATCGAAAATGCCACTGAGAGGATAACATAGAGTGTTTGCACATCTCCTGAGGATAAAAAGCAGCCAAACCATCTGGACCAAGAAGCTGCGTAGGTTTCAAGTATGATTTGAGACACTTTCGGATGTTGCTTTTATTAAAATTTGAGGAGTCATTCTTCACACTAGTAGCATTTGAAATAATAACGTCAGCTGGACGCGACATATGAAAGACTTATTAAGTGTGCTAACATCAACCGAAGAAAAATCATTATTTATAAGCTTGCCACCAGTAATTTCCTTAAATAGCTTCCACATATTTGGTGGAATTTTGCGTGATACGAACTTTTGGTTATTCACCATATCTAATCTCTGTATTTCTGATTTAATAAAATGTTCGGTCGCTGAGCACCAAGACCGCATTTAATTTTGTGATACCTTTCTATTTCTTGGCAAAGCATTTATTTATTATTGATTTGAGTTGAGAAGAGGTTAAGCGGTCGAATCTTAAGACGACTGTCTTTTTGTACAAAACGCATCAAGACGTAATTTGAGATAACTTGTTATGTTTGTCATATAAGCTATACATGCAAGTATTTACAATAAATGGACGGGAATGTTCTAGAAAAATTTCAATTGAAAAGTCAGGTTAAAAAAATTACAATTAGGAAGTAAAATGCCATAATAAACTGGCAGGCGGATAAAACTCAAACAAAGTAGTATCATAATTACTGAGAAGATTGACATATTGTGCACTTAAGGCTTAAAAATGTAGAAACAACAAAATAAACAAACATCCTGTCTGTTTTGTTTATTATGTCATTTTGATTCCTGATTGTAATTTTATTAATCTGACCCTTCACCGGAAATTATTCTGGAACATTCCAAACCATTTTTTGTAAATATGCGAATATGTAGCCTATTTGATGACTTCGCCAAAAAATTTTCTTCTCTGCAACTGTTATTTGTTATTCTGTGTATCTTCAGAAGAGTATAATCTATGTCGTGTTTTCTCGCCAAGGTTCAAGGAGGCACTTTTGCATAGCTTCCCATATATTTTTGGCAATATACCAATGATACAGTGATGAGAATAAAGTAGTGGGGCTCTTTTCTGAAATTTGAATTTTCCGTAGTCATTTGTAAACACTAGATCAAGGGTATTTTGTTGTCATGCTGAGAAGTTGACACTATTTTCATGACCTATTGATGTGAGAAAACTGAGGTCACAAGAAGTGGAGTCACCAGCAACTACTGACAAGGAGTTTCCGACGAAGGTGGCAGCAAAGTAGGTAAATTATCCGCCAAATAAAGGTAGTACTGAGAGACTAAACACAGGTACAATTTAAATGTTTGGTATTTATATGTAGTCATATTTTGACAGGTGTTTCCGTCGACATTTAACTGTGATGCAGTCAATTTTGTGACTGCAGAATCTAAGGCATACATTATTTGATGTACACCGAGAATGCAAAGCCACCACAACATTTCCTTTTAGAGCTACACCGATGTTGTCTAAATTATCTGACAGACTATCATCATATAGGTCATAAAGCCAGGTTTCTTGAAGAGTTATAAAACCTGCATTGCGGTAAACATTTGATGAAATGAGGGATTGCAGACAGTTAACGTTACTTGGCAGGGAACGAAAGTTTGCACTTGTAGTACACATTGGATGTTATGAGTTTTCGTTTAAATGAACAATGACGCTACACCTTGCTTTTTTGCTTGGGTGCGCCTTCACTCTCTGCTAGTAACACGCACATTTCTTGGAGTCCATGGCTTAGCCATACTAGCCAGATAAGTCCTAAACCTTTCGCCTTTAATGACCTTAACATTGATATTCTGTTTAAATAAATTGCTCAGTGGGGCAGCCTCCTAAATTACCGAGTCTTTTGGTTTTTATCTGGTCATAGGTGCGCACGATTCCGCTGGCATACTGATTAAATGACAGTTAGGCTCATTACGTTTAGTGAGGCTGGTATAGTGTGATATAGTAACCACCACAACTACTACCCGACATGCTCACGATTTCAGGAACAGTCATTTGATTTACTGAAATATGTTTTAAAGCATGCTGACATCTAGAATGGTCCTTTTTCTCGGGTTTTGTGTAAATTCGCAAATCAGCAAGTCTTAGGGATGTCAAATATTCGTGAGCGTAAGTAATGATGGATGGGTAGCCCAAGATTAAAACAGGCGGCCGTCCTTAGTTAAAGTAAACACAAGTGCTGTAACATGTTTATAACTCCTGGTACTTCAAGGGGCATGAAGGTCTGAATTGCAGCTAGAAACAAGGCTGTTGCAGGAATTCATCAATGAAGTAGTGGGTTCGAATGGGTCTAGCTCAGAAAGGATTGGTACTACGCATGAAGTGACCTCCAAATATGAACAGACAGTCAAAGACCTGATTACTGACACAGACATAACTGAAGCGTATCAGCAGAGGCCAAAACAGTTACGGACCATTTCTCCAGAGCTTTCACACCGGCCACAGTATCAGCCCTGGTCAAGCCACAGGAAATTGGGACAAGTTGCGTCGACATCGCCCAGAACATTGTGTTCCAGTCCATAAGTAAATTTGACACAAATTAATCAGCTGTGCCAGGTGTTCTTCACTGAAGTCCAGTCAATGATCTGGAAGCTCCTAAGTTTCAGAAAGACCTCAACACTCGGTCAAAGTGATCCAAAGAATGGATATTTTCAAACAACTTAGAGAAGTGCGCAGCCATGTACACTCCTCGTATGTGTCAGTTCGCAAGATATTTAGTGAATACCACTCTCATGATTTCAGACACACACAGACCTTTCATCGTGTATGAATATCTCAGTAGACAAAGTGGGAGAGTCTAAAGGCTAAAGAGGGACCATAGTTTTGTGAAGTACTGTTTCTTACATGAAATGATTAACTCTCCGAACAAATTTCCAGGAGTTTTGTTAGCTTCTGTAGTCGGCCGGTACATAAAGGCGGTAGAAAGGAGTAGTTTATTACTGGATAATGGTTATTAGGGTCTTGAAGCTTCCTAGATTCAACAAAAATCTGAATCTGAATTAGGCCAAAGTCTGAAGTTGATATTGCAAAGAAGCGGAATATGCGAATTTTTGCGTTACTGTAAGGTTAGTTTATGTGCCATGACCCAAGCTTACAATAATGCTGAATTAAATCTCAGTAATTCTGAAATAATTCTTGCATCCTATAGTGAGTAAATTCTGAATCTGTTCTGAAATGGTTTGTTTAACGGCACAGACTAGAACTCAGTGCTGGTTTTCAGCATGACTAGAACTAATTCAGCACCGTGTTCTTTTTCTAGGCATTTTCACGAGTAGATCAGAACATACTGGGTTTCCTTATCAGCGTTGTTCCAGCCATTACAGGACATATTAAGCTCTGACTAGCATTACTTCAGAACGAAAAGACCTAATTCAGCACATAGTGGCAATTTTTTCAGCTTAATTCTAGCCTTCTCAGCACATATTCAGAACTGACTAGCATTACTTCAGAACGAAAAGACCTAATTCAGCACATAGTGGCAATTTTTTCAGCTTAATTCTAGCCTTCTCAGCACATATTCAGAACTGACTAGCATTACTTCAGAATGAAAAGACCTAATTCAGCACATAGTGGCAATTTTTTCAGCGTAATTCTAGCCTTTTCAGATTTTGTCGCATTAATTCAGCACCCAGCTCTCTTTTTAAGCACGACCGGCGTTATTTAAGAACATAGTGGGTAGAAAAAAATTTTCATTTACCATAAAAAGGCATTATCAACGCATAGGTTAGAATAAGTTTAGAATTGTTGTAAGCTTGGGGAGGGACTCTAAACATAGGGAAGATTGCTAGGCTATTGAAATGTACTGAAATAAGTGTGTCAAAATTTCACTTCTTCATAGCTACATGTATTTAAAAGTCTTGACCTTTCGCAGGCAACTCCCCAAGCTTACTATAATCATATATAATGCTGAATTAAATCTCACTAATTCTGAAATAATTCTAACATTGTTTTATTGAGTAAATTCTGAATCTGTTCTGAAATGGATTCTTTAATAGCGCAGATTAGAACTCAATGCTGGTTTTCAGCATGACTAGAACGAATTCAGCACTGTGTTCTTTTTCTAGGCATTTTCAGGAGTAGATCAGAACATACTGGGTTTCCTTATCAGCGTTGTTCCAGCCATTACAGGACATAATAAGCACTGACTAGCATTACTTCAGAACGAAAAGACCTAATTCAGCACATAGTGGCAATCTTTTCAGCTTAATTTTAGCCTTCTCAGCACATATTCAGAACTGACTAGCATTACTTCAGAACGAAAAGACCTAATTCAGCACATAGTGGCAATTTTTTCAGCTTAATTCTAGCCTTCTCACCACATATTCAGCACATATTTAGGCATGCAGTGCTTATTTTCAGCATTGAAGGCATTATTTCAGATGCTGATCTTTTTTTTGAGATTTTGTCGCATTGATTCAGCACCCAGCTCTCTTTTTAAGCACGACCAGCGTTATTTAAGAACATAGTGGGTAGAAAAAATTTTCATTTACCATAAAAAGGCATTATCGACGCATAGGTTAGAATAAGTTTAGAATTGTTGTAAGCTTGGGGATTGGCAGTAATTCAGATATTTTTTGGTTTTTTTGACTCATTCCTCTCCAATCAGTCAAAAATGATAGAAAAGGGGTGAATAGCGAGGAAATAATGGAAAGATTTCGGTTATTTGGCAACCTTCCCAACTATAACAAAAATGAAGCCAATATTTTGTCGTTAATGAACCAGTAGTTTTCTTTGACTTAACCAATATTTTCTCATTATTTAAACAATATTTTATCTTTTTGATCATTATTTAACGAGGATTTGCCGACTTTTTTACGATTCTTACTATTTGCCTGAATTTTTGCACATTTCAAAGATTTTTTTAACCATTCTTTGCCAATATTTTCCAATTGTGCGTCGGTGGCACAATGGTTAGGAATCTCGCCGACTATGCACATGGTCCGGGGTTTGATCCCCTACCGACGCACACCCAATATCTATGGTCGGCCTGCAAAATTTGGGCTACTGATATCCATGCTGAAAATGCCACACTTGTACTGAAAATATAGTGTGGCATCAAGCTGTAATCAAAATAAATAAATTGGGTCCGAAAATCTCCCCAAGGCTTTACATGGACCCGCCTCTAAATTATCCATAGGAACCTCCAAATGGTGTACTTATGGTGAGTAGCATTTCTTCGGTATCATGGATTCATCAGACTTTCTCAATTTTGTCCTGTGGTTACTTAGAGGTTCGTATTTCCTATCTTGAGTGCGTGTACATTAGTCGATGGTTGACAAATTCTGGTAAAAGTCTGCGATATTTTCAGATATTTGTTATCCATCTATAACTGATCAGTAACTTCCTAAAATTATTGTTTCCCCTTTATAAATGCAAATTCAAACCAGAAGTTTTATTCCACTGGGTATGATGCGAAAAGTTGCTTTAGTTTTGTTTACAAAAGACAAGTAGTTCAGCAAAGAGTCTCTTTTCGGCGAATTCATTTTCAAAGCTGTACAATCGCAAATATATATGGTTATTTTGTGTGTGTGTGTATACATTAAATTTGTCAAACAAAATACGGTTAGTAAGTTCAAATGAATTGGATGTTGATAAGAGGATAGCAACAAAAGTGATGAGTTGTCAAAACGATTGTTAAAGAGGAGTAAGTTTAGGTGAATTGGATGTTCATATAAGAGGGTAGTAACAAAAGTGATGAGTTGTCATAAATGATTGTTAAATAAGAGTTACGTAATGGTAAGAATAGTTTGATGAATGAGTTGTACTCAAAGGTTGTGCATGGAAACAAAATAATATATAGAATTACACAAGGGTTTTAAGTTAGAAAAATAAGCATACAAACAGAAGTAAGGTCAGGTCAAACAAACAAAGAAGAGTTGGGTCAAATCAACGGAGTTGTTACCATGCGAGTAGAAGTGGTTGGATAATTTTCTTTTGTATGCATAGTTCTGGTTCAACCAACTGGATGGCTAGGGCTTCTGCGATACAAAGAAGACGAAATCGTACTGTCTTTGGGAGGTTGTTCTTCACTTTGTAGATCACTTTAAAGGAGGCGTTCGTTGAGATGGAATGACCAGTGTTGACTAGATGTTCGATTATTGCACTCCTTATATGGCCATTATTTCCTTTCTGTAGCCACGCTGGGTAGTGTTCTTTGACCCTTTTTGACAGGATGCGCGTTGAACGACCGATGTACCTGGCTCCACAGCAACAGGTGAACTGATATATACACATAGAAGTGGTCATGTGCGGAATCTTGTCCTTTGGGTTTCTGCAGATCAGCGGGCGACTGGAGAACACTATTCTTAGTGTTGCCGCAGGGAAAGTTCTTCCTAAAGAGGTGGAAATTCTCCTTCTGAGGACGTCACTAAGTAGGTCTCCTTTGAAATCTAGGTTCATATAAAGTATCTTTTTTGGCACGGATGCTGTCTCTTGCTTTTGGTTTTTCTGTTTGATGTTTTTGTCTACAAATCTTGGTGGGTAGCCATTTTGTATGAAGATTTCCCTCAGGAAGTTTAGTTCTTCTTCCATGGTGTCGGAGCTGCAGATGCGTCTGACGCGAGTGGCAAGGGATTTAATTAAGTTTCTTTTACGACTGATTGGTACCCAGCTGTAGAAACTTGTTAATTGTCCGTTCCAAGTCGGTTTCCTATGGATTGACCTTCTTAAGGTTCCGTCATCTCTCCTTGTAAGCTCTACGTCAAGAAAAGGGATTTTTGATTCGTTTTCAGTTTCCAAAGTGAACTTTGTGGCTGGATGGCATTTGTTGAATATTTGTAGTAGTTGATTGAGATTGTGATCGTCATCACAGATGATAAAGATGTCGTCAACATATCTAACGTACAATTGGAAATTGTCGATGGTTGATTTGAGTGGGCCGTTCTCGAGGCTTGCCATGAAGCAGTCTGATAGTAATGGGCCCAGTGGAGATCCCATTGCGATCCCATCTTGTTGTCTGTAAATAATGTCGTTGAATGTGAATTGGACATTGAGTGTACATCTCAGTAGTAGTTCTTTTAAACAGGTCGTCGGTAATCCGATGTCCAGCTGATTTTCGTCGATATAGTGACAAATATAAGAGACAATTTCCGTGAGTGGAACGTTGGTAAATAGTGATTCAACGTCGAGGGAGAGCATAGTTTTGTTCTTTGTATTGATATCTTTAATGTAATCGACGAATTGGAAAGTGTCACGAAGTGAATAGTGGCACATTCGTTTTCGTACAGGTTCTAAAATGTCAGTGAGCCATTTCGCTATTGAATGGTACGGGGAACCTGACATATCCAGAATTGGACGAAGTGGGAGGTTGGCTTTATGTATCTTCGGTAAGCCATATAGTCTTGGTATTGTTGACCCTGTCGGTCGGATCTGATCATACACTTCATGAGTAATTAACTTTTGGGTTTGCATTCTTTTCAGGACATCGGTGAGTTGCTTTTCAATCAGTTCTGTTTTGTTTCTTTCGTTGGGTGGTTGCGAAAATTTTGTTTTATCTGACAAGATGTTGTTCATTTTCTCAATATAGTCTTTTTTGTCCATAAGGACTATACCACTTCCTTTGTCTGGACGAGTTATAAGGAGTTCTTCATTTTGTTTTAGTTGATTTAATTCTTCTCTATGTTGCTTTGTCAGGTGGTTGTACACTTTTGGCTTTGTATTAAGATACTGATAACAGCTATCGATTATTGTTGATTTGAAACGTTGCAGTTCTTGTTCGGAGGTTGGGATTAAATCATTTGTTTGGGTCATTAGGTTTTCGAATTGTACTTGTGTATGGAGTCTGTTGGCGTTTAAGTTGACGTCGCAGAATTTTGGGCCCATGGATAGGGCTTCTAACTGTAGGTTGGATAAAGCTACTGAAGAGTAGTTGAATACGAATTTCCCGACTCACCAAAAGCCTCAAATCCATCAAAGCACACAAACAATTTCCTGAAGACCCTTCGAAATTCGTATTCAACTACTCTTCAGTAGCTTTATCCAACCTACAGTTAGAAGCCCTATCCATGGGCCCAAAATTCTGCGACGTCAACTTAAACGCCAACAGACTCCATACACAAGTACAATT